GTCTCAATTTTGTGTCCTTATGGTCCATAAGTTATAGTTCATGCAAAATTTTACCACAATTTAAATTATTTTATATACAGCCCTTCAAAGGGTTAAAAACATTGGCACTGTTGAGATGGTGAGTTAGCCCTAAGAGACAAAACAAGTTTTCCTGAAAAGTTGATAAGATCACTGAAAACACTCTGATTTAATGAATTCTCATGTTCACGCCCTCGAAGTAAAAGCTCAAATCCACAGCAAAATGCAATCACTCTATTTTTTAGAACATAATGATTTTTGTAGCCTTCTTATTTTGTCTTTTAACACAAATGCACTGTTGATTTGTTGGCGAATATGCGCCTTCCGTAGCAAATTAAATTCTAAGATGAAGTTTAAGAGTGATTGTGAGTATTCATGCTTTCTTATTCTACAGAATCGTAGCTAGGGTTTTCAGCGCACAGGGACAACTGAAGATTTCGCGCACCCTACTGCTTGCCAAGGATGGAAAACATTTAATTCTAAAATGTCGTAACATCAGTTTGGCGCCCTTTGGATTCTGCGCCCGGGGACAGATGCCCCCCCTCTAGCTACGTCCCTGTTATTCTATGACTTAGATGTGATAAATTAGCAACACTTACTCAACTTAAATCACCATTCTTTTTTGCAAACAGGAGATACGGAAAACAGAAGAGCTTGTTAGTTGATTTGCATGTACTAATCCTCGAACATTTCTCACACAAATTGGGTTTGAATTCCCTTTTAAAGTCTCTAGTTTTATATTTCATCCCGAAGTGTTGGCCTGCATAATTTCATTTAATTTTTTCTTTCCAAAGAAAATGCTGAAAAATGTAATTGCTTTAGTTCTGATACACTGATTTTAGTACGTGCCATCTTAACTGTTTATAACTAGTTCGTAAAACAATATGTATTAAAAAACGGTAACAATAAAAAAAAAAAAAAAAAAAAGGAAAAATGAATTAACTAACGATTGTAAGCGTAGCAAAGTAAGGGAGAATTCGGATGAGATAACTTCAAACAATACGAGCTTGTCCACACTGAAGATGTGTGAATGGAATATCAGCGGCGCCTTTCCCCTCCTACTCTTCTGTCCCCATAAATTGGTTTTCAAGGTCATTTCTTTCATTGCACGTGCGATTGAGGGAAAACCCAACGCCGTGTACTATAGTAACCTACAATGCAATACGTTAGTTATGTATTGGCGTATTTAAAAATGAAGGGTGAGACTCATACTGGAAATGGGCAAAACTCTGGAAGTGTATTTAATATTATTTTATTTAATTTGTTAATAAATTTATTTTTTTCGTTTTCTTTGGGAGTTCACATGATCATGTGCACAAATAGAGTCGCCGCCACTAGGTTCTAGTGCTTCTCAGTTTTCAGGTCCTACAATCAACTCCCAATAAACAGCACAGATTAAATGGGTAAGGTTTAACTGTGCTTCTGTTTAAAACCAAGTTAAATTTGCTTATCGTGGACTGATGCAAAAATTATTATAAATCATTATTATGAAGCAAAACTATCTTCAGAAAATACAAAAAAAGAAAAAATTCATAAGGTAGCAGCAGTGATAGCACAGGATTATCATAGCATTTGAAAGTTGTTTTTATCTGTGGTGATGGCGATAAGGAGCGCGCCTTGCGCCCTCCGATAAGTGTGGCAACCCTAGAGGAGAAGTTTCTTACGAGTAGCGAGCAGAGCGAAACAGGCAGGCTGTCGGGCAGTGTGCGCGAAGTTCCTAAATAAAGCTTAATTTTTTATTATGCACTATGTCTTGTTAATATTTATATTAATGCAGTAAGAACATAATCTGTGATATGGAATTCGAGGATTGGTGGTAAAAACATAACAGGAAATCACCATATATCCACACAGCACATACTTTAATCATATGTATTCAGAATATATAAAAATTTTACAATATAAAAATGAAGTTGAAACTGACTTTTTTATGCAAGTCTGAACAAAATAACATTGTTCAAGTTCTCTTCCAGATATACTTCTGTAATACTATTTATAACTTAGTTTCTTCACTTCTAATAATGTTTGCTCCTCCATAATTTAGTGTTTTTTTTTTCTTCTTTCTTTTTTTTTTTTTTTGTTGTTGTTGTTGTTTCTGAATACTGATTTAATTAATATTACCAAAATAAACTTGATATGATTGGTTGTTTGATCTGGATATTAAGCACCAGTAGACAAATAATTCACAAAGTTGAAACTGAAGCAACCATATATGGAAATCAAACCCAAAGCATAAATATCCCCCCCGGGGGTCGACGTAGAGAACTCTGCGAAGCTACTGGCTAGGATCTGTACCTAGGCAGTCTCGGCCACGGGGGTATAAAATTTATGAACTTGGTGGTTCTGAAGGCTCTGGGAAAGGTCACTTATTGGCCGGCCCCGGAGTCTGGCACGTCCTAGCGCGGCGTGGTACTAGTAACCCGGGGGTCTCCCCCGGGGTCGCTGGGTAATGTCCCGCTGCGACGGGCTCGCCCAAGCGACTGGTAGGAGCATTAGACGACCGGTGCTGCCTGGAGCCCGTCCCCAGGTGGTGCGCTGCTCTTCTGGAGGGTAATAGTGGAGGTTGAACCTCCACGACGTGCCCAAAGGGAGAGTGGACCTGCAGTGAGATTAAGTTTACTCGGAGCAGGGCAGCCCAAAATCCAAAGCATAAATATAACGAGAAACTACATCAGTAAAAAACAATATAGAAGCAAATACCAAGCACAACAGATCCACAACTGAAGTCAAAAATTAATTTAAACCACAAGTCACTAATAAGCTAAAATTATGCCATTACATAGAAATAAAAGTGTCAGTGTATAAAATGATCATAAACTGTGGTCAGAGTTACTGGCTCTGGTGCTTCTCAGTTTTTAAACAAATTGTAATTATATGCAAGGCTAACCACTCCTTTTATGTAACTGAAACACAGCTTCAGAAGAAAATTCCTTTGATCTCGAACATTTTATTTTAATAATAAGTAAACCTTAAAAGTTAATTCTAACTTCTGAATGTATGCTTGTACTTCCCCAAGTTCCTTGGATAGAGAACTCTCCCTGTCACCATCTACAAGACAAGGACTTATTCTCCAAGAAATAAAATGAATTTCTAATAGCAGGTATATATTTTGCTCCCAAAATTAATAGAAATGAGGATCCTGGTCATGCATATCTAATGCTAGTGACTTCCTGCAGAAAAGAGCAAGTGCAGACTTTTTGGAATGATGTAATCAAATAAGGAGGATGAATATTGTGACTTGCATAGAATCTTACATTTGTTCTCAGCTTTCAGATTAATCCTCGGATTCATGAAAAATTTTTTCTTCTGTCACATTCTGTTTGAGAGTTAGAATTATATCAGCAGCAAATAATGGTCATACAGTGCTTATAGGATCTTCTCTTTGTTTTCATACTTACACATTTCCGTTAAAATATCCTTCCATAGTCTCATACTGTTTCTACTATTCTCTCTAGTCTCATTAGAGATGCTTTAAATGGTTTTTCCTTAGTGGGCTGGATAAAGAATGGTAAAAAGATCTTTATTTTTATCATTCCTTGAAATGCTACATTAAACTGTGTATTCAAAGCTTAAATTCAGCTGCAGCTCTAAAAATAAGATAAAATCTGGTATTTTATTACATTATTTAACTACTTATCATTAATTTAATAATTTATTAAATTTTTACCTATCTCTTCACATTTTATTGAACTTTAAAACATCTAATTGTTATATTAGTTGCTTCATTTATTTACTTTTCCTTGACAGTTTTCCATAGGGCTTGGTACCTGAAATTTTAGAAATCAAGCCCTGAGTATGGTGCAAATATCTCTTAAATTGAAAGGTAAAAACTGTGAAAGTACTCACAATTGGTGGAAATCATTAGTGTTAAAACGTGAAATTACATTGTCAAAATTTTAAAAATAAACAGATATGATATGATAAAAATTTAATGTATCTAAAAATGTTACACAGGTTAAATGGGATTTTGGTCTCAGGAAAGCAATTAATGAGATATCTGTTTTCATAAAATATAAATGGCAAGAAGAATTAAAAATCCAACAGTCAACTAAAATATGCTAAATGGATACACAACACATTCAGTGCAGACTGGCTCAGTCTTTCCACTGTGCAGATGTTGATGAGTAAGCCTAAACTGACCGATCTTTATGATGTATACTTAACTCTTAACATTTCACTCTCAGTTTTATCTGTTTCAGTTTATTATTGACCTAGGTATTCCAGAACTGCAGCTATTTGGTAAGTTTTGAATAATGACTTTATGTATGCCTATATAGAGAATCGGTCAGTTTCCTGACTGATTTTGCAGTTACGTCTGATAATTCTTTGCTTTTAATCCCTGTGTGATCTGTAACCTAGCAGTAAAAGCTGTAGTATATAATACTCTTAGAGGTTTCAATTTAATTTCAGCACTTCTACAATTAAAGGATACTGCATGAGAAGGATTATAATGATATGAAAACACTCATAGAATGTAAACAGATGACAATTTTTAGCTGTTCTATCCTGATATAAATAAAAAGGAAAGAAAAATGGCAAAAAAATTTTGCAGCAGAACAGACTTGTAAAGTTTGATACCCTCTGTTTCTTTTTGCAGACAAAAACAGATCCAAGTGATTACTGAATTTTGACCCATTAGTGTAAACTGGAAGATAGTTTTTAGATATCTGTGTGTGTTTACTAAATCACTACCTATATATCACATCATTGGTGCAATACATACGAAAGTATCAAAAATCATTCAAACGGTTAATATGTTCATGAGGTGTGGTGTGTGGTGTATTTAATTATGGCAAAGCACACGAGGGCTATCTGCCTAAAGGGAGGGATGCCTTTCGTGGAGGACTTTCTAAGGGAAACTGGCTCGTATACACTTTACACATGGGGAAAACCACGAAAACGCCCATGCAGCCAGCCCGTTCGCGGGATTAATATGTTCATGAGAGACAGCAAATTCGAAATACTGAAAAAAAGAAAGGGACTGGGGAAATTCGAAGGGCTATTTATTCTTTCAAATTTTTTCAAGCAATAATCTTGCTCAAGTATTCGAACATATCAACTAGAAGCAGGGATACAAAATTGTTGCACTTGGTACAGAGAATAATACAGTACAAAGTCCGAGATACAGACTCGTTGGGACTTACATGATTCTGGATTTTAGATTCTTCCAGATACTAAATCTCGATAAGCTGACATGTAGAATTTATCACTTTCAAGGAATAAAATTCATTAAAAAAGAGCTCAGCATTTTTTTTTTTTTTTTCTTTATTACACATTTCTTTTAATGTAAGTTGCTCCTTTTTTGTGCTAATACTTCCTCTTTAATTCTATAGAGAGACATGATTTCTTGTTCAGCTGCAAAGTTCCAAACTTCAAATCCTGTATTTGTTCTCTCCTCTGTCACTCTCTTCTCTATTGATAACAATATTTTCTGGATTTAGAATCATACTACACATTTCACTGCGTGTTAGTTGACTGATGATTAGGGTACTGCCATCGCAATGAAAAGCTGTTACAGCATCTTCATTTATTACTTCTCCACATTTCACAAATTCCAATAATTAGAAAAATTAACTTTTTGTTTGCAATATCTGAAATTCTTCAAATTTATGGCTATCATCATAAAGCTTAGTTAACATTCACTATACACTACTGGAGATGTATCTCAAGACTGGCGACTAAGAACATCTCATCCCGATAAATTCTGTTTTGCTCTATTATGCACTGACAAAGTTAAGCTTGGATTATATTAGTTATTTATTATACTTACGTCTATTCCTTGTATATGCTTAAAGCTTGAATAAATTCCCATATATACTTAAGGCATATCAAGAACCAATGCTAGAAATTTTGTGGCCCGGTGCAGTCTCTCCACATTTTAAGTTCTAAAAATTTTGCATCCCAGTGCTTTTCATAAAGATTAAAGATTTTGCTATCCCTCAGTTTTGTTGCTTGGTGTTTTTCTAAATTCTAAAAATTTTGCCTTACCTAAAGTTGGATGCAGCAGCTCTGATGACAGTCCTGGACTTAATAATAAATTATTCTCAATTCAAAGAGCAATAAATGTTTTCTTTTGGACTATGAGTATCATTTATAAAATCTATTTTTTTGCGTAAGGAAATAAATTGCTGTTAAATTTCCTCTTTGTCACAATGCACTTCACACTTTGCAGTACAGTTAGCTAAAGTCTGTAATCATCCTAAGCATAATGTCAACATAAAAGGTTACCATGCTCATTGATATTCAATTACTACAAACAAATTGTTGAGTCCTTGTTAGACGAGTCATTCCTTGAGCTGCCATGTGTTGATAGTCAGGCAGTGATAAAAACAAAAATAATAAATAGAGATTCACCATGTTAGCATCATGGATTTTAACCATTCAATAGGTGTAAAATCCAAGATGTTTCGATTGAATTTAGAATTTTTTGGTTTGAGATATATGCAAAGGAAAAGGGCATCTATGGAGCCAAATTATTGATCATACAGGTTTATGGAAAACTGATGGGTTTCGTAAATATGGAGGTATTTCATTTAGAGACAACTAAAATTAAGAATTGGGACTTTCCTCATATTTTATTATGAAAAAATACAAATGCACATATGTGAAGCATAAAACAAAAATTGCTGGTGATCCAGAGGTCCAGATTTTAGATAGTTTTGGACTTTATAGATCCTCAAGCACTGAAAGTCATCGAGGCTGTGGCATAATATTAAAAAAAATAATAACACAAAGGCTACACTAAGCGTTCTCATCTCAGCTTTAATGAAGATTCAAAGCATTCAACATAGTAGTGCAGAGGATGTTCTGAAGGTTCCAAAACAAATCCTTAGAAGCTGATTATGAACAGGATCAAGTTTCAATAATAAGAAAGGTTTCACAGAGCCATAAATTAAATGATTCATAATCAATGGTACAATGGCTCTTTCTATATATGCAAAACTTCAAGCATTCGTCAGCTTCACAGGCCATATTTGATAAGACATTTTAAAATACATTTGTTCAAGCTTTTAAAATATGAGGGGAAAAAAAAAAAAAAAAAAAGAAATGCAAGTTTCTTTTCAAAAATAATATCTAAAAATTTTGCTTCAGAATTCAGTGGGATCAATGAACCATCCAGAAAAACTTCAAGTTCAGGATACAGACTCTTCTTGGTACAGAAATGCACACAAACAATTTTTTGTCTTGATTTTGAAAATATTCTTGGATTATTTCAAAATCCTGTTGTGTGCTTTTTGCAGTTGTCTTTCTATTTATTGCACATTTGCTTCTTGGCAACTTAGTTGTAAATCATCAACATACATGGATCCAAAGATAGTTCCTTCACGATCAAGTTGATTTTCAAATTAAAAAAGAGTCATATTCAGCACACGTCCTTGAGAGACACCTTCTTGTAAGAAAACACTGAGTAGCAGAATGTCAAGCTTAAATTTGAAAGTATAAAATTTATAAAAAGTCTGAATGAAAGTAGGGAGGTTCCTGCACAGATTACAATGGCAGAGGTCTTGAAGCTTTTTTCATCTCTATTTTTATCATTTGCCTTTTCTATACTGAAAAAGAAAGAAATCAAAATACTTTCCTTCTACAAAGAATTTCATATTGCACTTTCTAGTAAAATGATGTTACCAATACCAAATCTGCTTTTCCTAAAATACTTTGATCAAGAGAAAATAAGCCATTTTGCTTGAGATAATAGACAAGGTAAACATTTATAATTTTCTTGAGAATCCTACAAAGACAGCCAGTAAAAACTACTGGGCAACAACTAGTATTGCTTCATAATTTGTTTGGTCAATTAAGCTGAACACTGGTTACTCTTTTTTTAAAAAAATCTCGGATTAACCAGGATTTTGAGTTTACTGCAGATTTGGCCCAATGTTACACCAATGAGTTGAAGTTAACTAATTATATATATCATGAACTTTACACAGTTATATAAGGAATGATGTTAAAAAGAAAAGTAGAACTGAATAAATACCTATCTGTCTGCTCTTGAATACAAACTAATAATACAGTTACAGATTTCATATACCATACCTGCAGACCCAAAGTCAGTGCCAGATAAGACTACACTGCCCATAAAATTACAGTATCACAATATATATATATACTGTATATATATATATATCATACCTTAGGAAACTGAATAGCACTGTCTATAACCAGCATTGAGGAACAAAAGTATAATTGACGAAATTCTTGAGATATCTGTTTATCAGAAAATTTAGAAATTTCTTTTCAGCTTGCTCACATGATGCATTTCTTATTTCTTTTCAGCTTGCTCACATAATGCAGTTCAGCTGAATAGGCATATTCTATAAATTAAAAGAAAAAAATTATTACAAGTTAAAACAATACATGGATTTTTTTTTTTTTTTTTTTTCCTCTGTGCACGTGTCAAAAATTTTAGCATTCGTTACACTTCAACATGCTTCATATCCACTAATGTCTTCTGCCATAAAAATAGATTAATAATAAATAAATTATATGAATGCAGCATTATAAAGTAAAGCACCATTTGTATATCTACTGCTTAAAAGAAAAGGGGGAAAGATGTATAATGGAGGAAAATGTATAATCAAAATTTTATTACATTTGTTAAAAATATGATACATATCTTTTAAATGTAGAATTTTAATGTCATTACTTTAATGTCATTATTGTAATGTCATTGCCATACTACAGTTATTATACAAATTTATCACCCAAATTTTACAGTCTAAAAAATATCTTTATTTGATGAAAATTCAATTATATCATTTTCTAAAACTGCAAAAATTAAAAACATATAATGTTTAACATAAAAATTAGAAGAATTGTTCCTCATTTCAGTAATACAGCTTTCATGTGGAAACTGTAATTAGGAAGCACTAAACGAGGCCTGAAACTTCACAGCTCTGAATTCAAAAGTAATAAATTTTCACATATGTCTTAACAGGTTCATTTTTTTTTTTTTCTAATTTCTTTTAAAGAATTAATTTATATTAAAATGGAGAATTATTTCATGTAAGAAATTTGAAAGCATACACAGATTAGGAAAAAAATACTGAATGATGTGCATGTCTCTAATCATCACGAAAATTTTTATAAATTTTATTACAGCAAAAATTTTGTTTTGATTTTGCCTTTAAAAGACATTACAGTAATAGACATGGATCACTTCTTCACTTCCAAAAGAAAGTAATTTCACATCATCCCTTCTTTGTTCTTAAAATAATCCAGGACTGTGTTTGGATAATATTGTCCATATTTTCACTTTGTGTTTTATGACAGAGTAATGTACACTGCACCTACCAAAGAGAAATTTATGAAGAAAAGAAAAAGAATTAAAATTTGACTAATTGATGGCACTGAAGATGGTATTAAACAAAATTCTTTTGAAACATAATGATGATGAATATTATATTTATAATAGCACATTTTCTATGAAAGCAGGCAAGTTGCTGAATCATGTTCATTTCGCATAAGGAAATAACAGTACAAAGTCTAAGATCTGGACTCATCTGGCTTTCAACGATTATGGATTTAGAGAGTTTTTTGGATATTAGATCATTAGTTTAAATCTATTATGATGGGATGCAGAAGTTATAAAATTAAAAATACGGAATCGTGATTTATGAAATAATGAAGCATTTATGATATAAAAGGCATCAAAATTTACAAAAAAAACTTAATATTTATTTGTTTACTTTATTAAACATTTCTTTCAATGTAAAATGCTTTCAATGTGAATAGCATGTGCACTCCTCAAGCGTTTATGTTTTAGATGTGAAGATAATGCAATGTAAATGTATCATTAGGTAAATGCAATATAAATGTAAATAGCATCATTTAATGAACATAATAAGTAAATGCATACGAAAGCTGTGTATATGTTACAAAAGTCTTAATTATGAAAGTAACATAATTTCAATGTAACACAAATGTAATATAAATGCAAACAACACCAAGTAATGAAATTGTGAAGGTGGTGCACATAGAGCACCAGTAAACAATGTGCATAGCATGTACCCTCTTTAAGTTTTTATGTTCTAGATGTGGAGATAATGCAAAGTAAATGTATCATAAGATAAATGCAATATAAATGTAAATAACACCACTTAATGAGCTGAATAAGTAAAAGCCTATGAAAGCTGTGTATGTGTAATAAATGTCTTAATTATGAAAGTAACATAATTTCAATATAATGCAAATGTAATATTAATGTAAACAACACCATGCAATGATTCTGTAAATGTAGTGCACATGTGCACATTGACAATCAGTAAACAATGTGAATGTGCATAGCATGTGCCCTCTATAAGTTTTTTTTTTTTTTTTTTTTTTTTTTTTTTAGACGTGAAGGTAATGCAATGTAAATGTATCATAAGGCAAATGCAACATACATGTAAATAGCACCATTTAATGAACTTAATAAGTAAATGCATACAAAAGCAGTGTATATGTTTTGTAAATGTCTCATGTATGAAAGCAACATAATTTCAATGTAATGCAAGTGTAATATTGATGTAAACAACACAAGTAATGAATCTGTAAAGGTGGTGCACATAGGCAATCAGTAAACAATGTGCATAGCATGTACCCTCTATAAGTGTTTATTTTTAGACGTGAATGTAATGTAATGTAAATGTATCATAAGGTAAATGCAGTATAAATGTAAATAGCACCATTTAATGAACCTAATAAGTAAATGCATACGAAAGCAGTGTATATGATATAAATATCTTAAATTTGTATATAATGTATGTAAAATGTAACCAAATGTACTTAAATTTTCAATGTAATCTGTGTTCACAAACTCTGTAAAATGTGCATTCAAATGTATAATTATGCCCTTGTTTGGCCCTGTATTGCAACTAATTATTCTGCCCAAACTCTAGATAAAGGTGGACGTGGCGCTATACCAATTAACCAATTGGCAGAGGGATGGTGCCCACGTCCTCCGTCGCATGTCGCATCCTTCTGAGCTGACGGCATTCTCACTCTGTATTCTGATTATCATTTTGAAATAAAGATCACTTATTGTTGCTTGCTGTCTCTGTCTCTTTTCCAAATTTCATCACTTTCTGACCACTCCTTCTTGGTGTTGCATTTTCAATGTCGAGCAGTGTATTTCGCCGTCCATTGATTGATGATTGGGGCATAGTTATCGCAATGAAAAACTTGTTATATTATCTTCATTTATTACCACTTCTCCACATTTGTTTACAAAATCCATTATTTGGTAAATTTCACCTTTGTTTGCGATATCAGGAAACCTTCAAATTTGCGGCTATCACCTTCGTTATCCTCATCTTGAAATATGGTAGCTAGCCATCAAATATGCCAAGCATTTTTTAAAGTACGTGGAGACACAACCTCTCACAATCTTGCGATGCTCCTCACAGTAGATTTTATGCTAAAATATTTCAAAAATTCTTGAACAGTCTCACCATTATTCAAGAAATTATATAGAGTATATTTTTATATATTATAATTATATATATATAAATATTATAACATACCGTGTTTGACGGCATATAAGACGCACTTTTTTTCCTAAATTTGGTCTCAAAAAAGTTACCTGCATCTTATAAGGTTAACTTTCAATACTGAATGCTATTTTTAGCCCAGATAAAGGTCTAGATACACATAACTTTTTCTACATCTGCCATAATTATTTTGGGCATGCGTGAAATATCTGTCGCCAAAAAGTGCAAAGCTTGAAGCTGATGTCGAAGTTTGAATAGGTTCGAGGGTCACATTACGTCTATGGAGCCTTTCCTTCTTTACATAGACTTTCTTTGACTCAGCCGACACACGTGTCAGTATCCGTGCTACTCTGTATAAATGTGTCGGTATCGGTGCTTGAAACTATTTGTTTAAAAAAATACCCTGGAAAATATGACTACAGGAAACAAGAGATTAAGCTATACAATTCAGTATAAACTAGGAGTGTTAAACTATGCCAAAGAGTACTACAGCCGTTTTTCATATTCAAAAGAAAAACTTCCAACGGGTGTAATTGTTCATGTTCATCTGAAAGGCTGGATGGACGAAGCTGGAATGAAACTTTGGTTACAGAACGTATGGGCGAGGCGATTTGGTGGACTCTTAAGAAAACCCTCTCTTTTGGTTTTGGATCAGTTTAGTGCCCATAGAACTGAACCATAAAGAATAAAGCGAGAGAATTAAAAACCCAGATAGCTGTCATTCCTGGTGGACTGACTAGCCAATTGCAGCCTTTCGATATATCGGTGAATAAGCCATTTAAGGAAAAAGTGCAAGAATGATGGAACAAGTGGATAGGAGAGCAATATCACGCCCTCACACCCTCAGGTAGAATAAAGCGGCCCTCTATTTCACAAGTGTGCGAGTGAGTGAAAAGATCTTGGGACGACGTAAAGGCTGAAGTAATTGTTAAGTTCTTTAAAAAGTGTGGAATCAGTAATGCTCTTGACGGAACAGAAGACAACGCATTATTTGAAGAAGTTGATACTAGCAATGACGGAAACAGTAGTGATGGCGATATTCTCGTTTTTGGATGATGATTATAGTGAGAAGGTTTTTTATGGTTTTGCAAGTGATTAAAATCTAATTTCATGATAGGCAATGTTTTCCTTGAATCTGTGTTTTTTGTTGATTCTGCTTTATTTTGTATTATGTTTGATTGCTTGCCATTCATTCATTTATTCATTATCGAAATTACATATCATGTTCAAAATAGTTTGCCGTTTGTTCATTTTCCTTAATAAAAATATGTTTGGTAATTGCATTCAATGATTGTTTATTTGGCTTTTACGAAACGTGAGAACTAAAAGAAACCACATTTTAAGTTATTGCAGACTATTGAAACTTTTTTTCCTTGTGTGTAGTCTTCTAAATAAGGGTGCGTCTTATATGCTGTCAAATACGGTATATCAATATTATATTATTACAGTATTGCCATTACTCAAGAAATTTAACATGGACTTTAAGAATGCTACTTTATGTTCGCATTTCAGCTTGTGCACTATTCCGATATCTATAAGCTGAATGATGGACATAGAATTTGAAGGGAGAATAATGTGGATACATTATCTTTAGCTAAAACTTTGAATGAAGTATGAGTGGTACGGTTGTTTACAATCAGGATAATTTTTGCATCATCTGGTAAACCTACCAAACTCAATTTTGCCAAGACTTGCATATGAAATGATTTTCAAAGCAATAATTCATTAACGTTTGTGTCATCCATGATCTTTTATTAACATTATTATATATAATGGAGGAAATCTTTACTCCTTTTAATGCATGATGTCATTTATTTTTTCTGATAACGAAAAGTTTACACTTA